CTAAGCACAAGGTTAGAAAAGAAACAAGTATCATGTGTGCAGGCTGTGGTGTGGCTCTCTGCAAACTTTCATGTTTCAATGTTTATCACACGAAGAAAAACTAATAAAGAGGTATGGAAAGGCATTTATTGCATAAAATATTGTATTTTAATTAGTTCCTGAAAATTTCGTTTTTAAAAACCAATTTTTGTTGAAGTTGTTTAGGAAAAAGTAACTACATGCATTTTAGCGACATAAGGTTTAAAGGGCCTGCCAGGACAGGGGTGGGATTTAAATACCCTTCGTGCCAGTCAAAGAGTTAAGAAACCTGAGTCTATTCCCTGATACCCTTTTTCCTGAGGCAACCCATTTATTTTCCTGCTTCTTTAGTTTTTACCCATTTTTAGGCATAGCTATATTGTAACAATACTGTAAAGTACCTGAAGGTTCATTGTATGTCTTGTTCACTGAATTTTGCTTAAAAACAAGCTTCCAAGTCTCTTTTGCTAGTAGTAGCTAGTTTAGGTATTGTACATTCTCTTCCCTGTAAGATCTACCTATTCTGAATTCTTCCTTTAGTTTAACTTGCCCTTCTTATTCTTATACTGCATCTGTATTTGTAGTATCTATGCTTTATGGTCAGAAAATTCTGTTTCAATCACCTTAAGATTGTATCCCCATAAGCCCTTGTTCAGTATTATTTGATCTAATGCTCTTTGACTTCTAGGTCCTATTCTCGTTTGGACATCAACTATTGCTTACAAGCCATATGAGTTTAACATTGTCTGTAGTTGTAAATTTTCTCTTCTTCCTAGGAAATCGATGTTGAGATCGCCTACGATAATGATACTCTTCCCTTTGTCTATTAAGTTACTAGTTACTGTGCCCATAGTTTCAATAAATATATTAATATTACTGTTTGGAGTTCTATATACACAGATAATAATTGTATTAAACTGGATAATTTCGTTTATAACGACTGTTGTTTGCCATACATTCATGGATCGCAGTAATATGTAAATTCTGTGCACTGTTGACGTGTCATGTTTTGCAAACTGCCATTTTAAATCCATCCATGAATCACAGTTTGGGTTCCAGTTTGATGGATGATGAAACTTTAAAATCATATGATTCAACTTGTCCAAAATACTTAGTGTTTACTATTTTTAAATTTCTGGGAATAGACCTTGTAAACTTCAGAGACAAGGATAATACAGTAGTCACCTTGAAGTCATAAATAGTTGACTGTAGTTATGTACCTTGATATTGGACCTTAAAAAATCAGGAATCTTTTTTTTGGAACATATTTTCAATCTCAAAAACTGAAAGAGCCAGAAATTATTCACCAAATTAAGAAATTCCATTTTATTGTGCAGCCCACAGGTTCATCAATATTATCACAAAATCCTGACATTGTTTCTTATCCTGAGCCAGTTCAATCCAGTTCACTTGTTGAAAACTCGCTGCATAAAATTTGTGGTAAGTCTTTTCTGATTCCAACAGCTGTCAAGCAGTGGTACTGGATCATGTAGGTACAGTAACCCTGATATTTTTGCAAGATGGCACCAGTGGTTGTATTTCAACCATTTGCTTTGGATTATAGCTAGGATGATTCAGTCAGTAAGGTAGCTGACTATGGGCTGGGAGACTGGTTTTCATTTCCTGATGGAGGAATAGATTTTTCTCTTAGTGCTAATGTCCAGACTGGCTCTGATGTCAGAAGAGTATCTTATTCAGTATTGTGAGCTTTTTTGGAAAGGAATAAATTGACTGGAGCATGAAGCCATCCACATTTGGTGCCAGAGTTAAGAATGTTTACTTCCATTCCCATTTCATGGTACAGTGCTTAAGCACAGGAGCCATGTAAAAATAATTTCAGCTTCCTAGATTTATGTGCAATATCAAGCCTCTTATAATGGTTGGATTTACAGGGGCTTCATCTGAAACCAAATTACTACATTCTGTGTGTTAATTTGCTTTCAGACAACACTTGCTCATATAATAGCAAACCAGTGCAAGAAGGATAATCAGGAAGCAAGGTTTGTCACAATGTCTGCCACCATGTCCGGTGTCAATGATGTTAAAGACGCAGTGAAAATTGCAAAGAATGAGCTCAGATCTTTCAAGAGGCGAACCATTCTTTTTATGGATGAAATTCATCGCTTTAATAAATTACAGCAGGTAATGATAGATACATTGACATCCTAGACATCCCAGAGCAACTGACATGGGAAAAATGTTCTCACTATTTACTCTTAGGACACTACATCCCAGAAGACAGATAAATAATGTAAACTTTCCAAAGAATAATCTTTTTGTCTGATAAGGAAATGTCACAGTTCTAAACAGAAGCAAACTAGAATAAATTTGTTTGCATCAATCATGAACATTGGAAGAACCTTCCTGCATAAAACTTAACCACAGGCCAACATACAATCTGTAATAAACACAACATCCTGGTTATGTGAGCTGATTAGTAGTTGAAAAGTGCACTACACATCATGTTTCAAAACAATGTGAAGCTTACTCATTCATTCATTCATTTAATTTATTTTCCATATATCCATACAGGAAAGAAAACCTAGGATGTGGAAATAGTCCCTTTGATAATAGATGTGTTCATATTCTGTGGGAAACTTTGCAAAGAAGAATCAATACTGAGTATTGCAATTCTGTTGGAGAATTGATAAGCAAATTCCCCCTCCTAAAACTAGGTGGCACATGTATAATAATGAATAACATTTGTTAATTGTTACAAGCAGTCATGCAGTCCTTTGAGTTACCTGGCCACTATCTTACTACAACATTGAGGAGTGTTTTCCCCTTGCTTTTAATGCCCACTGGTGACATCAGAGCATTACAAAATCAGATTGATTGAAACTGCAAAGTTAAGCACCATGGTACCAAATTATGGGCTAGGAGCATTTGCTTAAATTTGCTGTACCCAAAGAACAGCCCTCTTTTCCAAGTTATTTACCAGTGTCACGGACAGGTCATGGATTGTGGATCCATATCCTAAAGAAACTGTGACTGTACCTTCAATCCTACTGATTCACCAAGGAGTTAACAGGTATAACATTGCATCAGGTGAGCATTTGGAAGGTAATTTCATCAGGTCACAGGTCTAGCTGTATTGTTAGTTTCTTATATGATAGTGATAATATACCCAGTATAATTCTTGTTCATAAGTAACCCCAAACAAACACATTCTCAGTGGCAGCAATTCATCAGTGAGAGGTAGTTTGTAATTTTCTCAACAGAAAATTGTAATATTTCCTTGTGTTCTTTAGGAACACATCAAGGTATACATGAACAATTTTTCTATGTAATATTTTATTTGCTATTGTAGGCACATTTTTTAGTGAAGTCAGGTATTTTTATTAGATTATCTGTGACGGTTTTCACATATATGTTCTTACTTAACATTGCAAAAATGCCAAGATAAAATTAACATTTTGTACCACATAGGAAATTACTTTCATTCAGGGGCAGGGACATTTACTCCAAGGGTAAAGCAGCTGGAGAGTGAAGCTTACTGCTCCTCCATCTGGTGCTGAGTTTAAGCTTTATATTTACTCCCGTTTTATGAATTTATGGCATAGTGCTTAGGCACAGGAATGATTTTACTGACGCATCTTTCACGTGAGGAACCTTTTTTTAAATTATGTTCAGCAAAGCTGAAAATTGACTTGCCAGTGGAATTTCTGGATACCTCTTGCAGCAGCAGCATGACATCCACCAATTTGTGCCACACAGAACTTGCCACTTTGTGCCTTGGATTTTATAAAGATCAGTTGGTATCCAAGTCTGATAGCTCAAAGTGTAATTTTATAATCAAGGAGGATAAGATGGGTAGGGTAGATAGGACACGTGGAAAGTCATAAATGTGTACAAAATTATGGTTGGAAGAATTGAAGGGAAAGGATTTCTTGCAAGACCTAAGTTGTGGATGGGAGGATTATACCTGAAATGGATCCAAAATACTTAGGATAGGAGGTTGTGAACTGGATTCATCTGACTCAGGATAGGGTCCAGTTGTGATCTATTGTGAACACAATAGTTAACCTTCAGTTTCCATATGAAGCTCTAAATTTCATGAGTCACTGAGTGAGTACTGGCTTCTCAAGAAGGACTCTTCTTAATGGAGTTGGTTTTATATTCTATTTTTTTTATAGTGGGATGGGACTAAGTCCCTTGTACTGCGGCCACTTCTGGCCTATTGTACTACCTCTAGATGATAGGTGAGAGTGATTGTGGAGTAATTGGTGGAATGAAGATTGGCAGGGTAAACCGAAGTACTCGGAGAAAACCAGCCCAAGCTCCACATTGTCCACCACAAATCCCACTTTACCAGACCCGGGATCAAACCCAGGCCGCTGCAGTGGGAAGCCAATGACTAATCACTTGAGCTATGGCACAGCCCCTTTTATATTCTAAGTCTCAAGTCTTAACATTTTCTTAAGAGTCTGTTTATTTTATCATTCAAGGAATGCATGTTATGGCATTCAAAACATTCCACATAAATAACTGAGGACAAAATATTCAAGATTTTTGTTGTTTTACAATATTTTCATGCAACTAGAACAATGTTGAGAACTGTAATTATGTCTTGTTCACAGGACATCTTTCTGCCTCATGTTGAAAGTGGAACTATCACCCTAATTGGAGCCACTACTGAAAACCCTTCTTTCAGCCTTAATTCTGCACTTCTGAGCCGCTGTCGAGTCATTGTACTAGAGAAACTCAACACACAACACATTATTGCTATTTTGGAAAGGACCCTCATAGTTATTGATGGTAAAATTGTGAAAGCAGGAGAGAACATTAATTTTACCAAACCTGGTGACAGGATACCAAGGTAATTAGACTTACACTATTCAACTGTTGAATCAGAGTGCTCTGTTATTCAGTTCATTGTCACTTCCTTACCACCAGTCAGTGAGAGCTACCAGTTGAGCACTCCCATGTATGCCCAATAGCATTCTGCCTTCACTCCATCTGAGCAGCTTACTTAATTTATAAGAGAAAAGAAATATGCTATTGCTGTTCACACACATGCGCACACTCACACACCTTATAGATACTCTTCAAGTCATCCTTGTGGGGGTCCATTTTGTACAATTTATCCTTCAAACTGTCACATAAACAAAAGTCGCTTGGCTTAAGATCAGGTAAAAATGCTGTTGTAACCTGTGTCTCCTTGCCTCCAACAATATGGATGCAAACACTGCCTCCCTACTTCTTCCCACATGCAACCTTGAAGCCGGATCTAAAAACATGGGCAATATATATATATACGAGGGGGTACCCAAAAGAAACCGAACTTATTTCTTTTAAACTTATTTATTCAAATTTTAAGCACAAACCTTCAATCCCCTTCAAAGTACTCTCCACTTACACTAATACACTTGTCTAGTCTTTTATTTCATTTTTCAAAACATTGTCTAAATTCATCCTTTGAGATGCTTGACAGCGCCTCCGTCGTTTTTCCTTCACCTCAGCAACATCAGCAAAACTCCTTCCTTTCATGTCTCTTTTCATTCAAGGAAAAAAAAGTTTTGATCATTTCGGGACTCTTCTTTCAAAGCACAGCTTGCTTCCACGTGACCTTGTTTTTGTTCAGCAGTCAGCAGTCGTGGCACGAATTTCGCAGCCACCCTTTTCATTCCCAAATCTTCTGTCAAAATTCACTGAACTGAGCTCCAAGTCACTCCCGACAGCTCCACAATTTTTTCAATGGTCCGTCATTGATCTTCCTTGATGATTTCATGAATTTTTTCAACATTTTAATGTGTTTGGGCCGTGGAAGGACGACCAGAACAAGGTTTGTCATCAATTGACATTTCACCATTTTTGAAATGGGAAAACTACTCAAACACTTGAGTTTTCCCCATAGCATCGTCCTTGTACGCCGTTTTTAACATTTCAAGAGTTTCTGTTCCACTTTTCCCGAGCAGAAAGCAGAATTTCACTGCCGCACGCTGTTTGCGAAAATCAGCCATTGCAAAAACGACGATCACACAAAACAGTTGTCACTATAAACTCTGCCGAAACTAGTCCTTACCTTCTGAAGCAACGGTAGTCGGCTTATCGACTCAGGAATGTTAGCTCTATGTGCTCATAGCGGCAAAACGCGGTAATACAAAAGCTCTGCCCACAAAAAAATGAGTTCGGTTTCTTTTGGGTACCCCATCGTATATATTTCCTCCATTCACAGATGCACAAATGAATGCCAGTAGTGGGTTTTGTTTGGAGACAAAGATGTGTTGTTGCAAAACTATTCATGCTATCAAAGGGGAATCATTTTTAGATGTACTTATTTCTTGTATCAGAAAGTGTTCCAAATTAAAGGTGTGGATACAGATAAAATTTGTATTTTATATCTTGTATGTTATACCATTTCTGAGTCTATTGAATGGTTCTGGAGGTGAAATGTGGACAGGCTAGTGCAGCTTTCCCATGGTGCATTCACTTTATGTGCACAGTGCAAAAAATGCACAGAAACTGCTATAATGGAGAAGAGTAGTGTATTCTTATAATTACTGGTACTGAATGTAACAGAATTTGCTTGTGCAGAATACTGTAAATGATGCCTCTCCAATAATAGTGATGAATAATGTTACAGTCTACATGACTTGCTTGTAGATTTGTGTGCAAATCCTGATACCCCATTACCAAGATAAATAAATAACAGATGGGTTCTTGGTGCAGGGTGCTAATAGATGAGGCAACAGTGATATGGCTGGCTGAGATGTGTGATGGTGATGCTCGCGTGGCATTGAACAGCTTGCAACTGGCTCTTCAGGCCCGAGACCAGGACTCAGGAGTGATTCTCATTTCACTCGATGACATCAAAGATGGGGTCAAGGTAATATAGTATTTGGACAACTGAACATTTTTTAGAGCACTAGCTCATCAAAAAATGACATAAGATGTTGTGAGAACCCAAAATAATATTTGATATACAAAAAGACACAGATTACTAACGCTTTTAATAATTCAGCAGTTTTTAATGGCCATAAACTTTCTTTCACTTAAATGTATAGTTATCAGGTTTGGATGTTCAGTAATCTACGGCTATATCACTGTTTAATGTTTCTCCATATGGGAAATGGAATTGAACATTAAACTGAAGACAAACCTTAAATTTGGAAATGTCATATATGTGTTTCACATAGAAGTAAAACTTAAGGAAACTCATGATTATAATAATTTCTGCTTATGATGCTGTGTTTTATAGTTCCAGTCTTGATAAGATTCTGACAATACATTTGAATTTCTGCCATTACCAGTTATCATGGTCACTTTCATATACGTAGGTCCTATTCAGAAGTAATGAAGTTTTGCTGCATATGCTACTTCCAGCGTTCACACCTGCTGTATGACAGGAAGGGAGATGAACATTACAACATTATCTCAGCAATGCACAAATCAATACGAGCTTCAGATGATAATGCAGCCCTCTACTGGATGACCCGGATGCTGCAGGGGGGGGAAGACCCACTGTATATAGCACGGAGACTTGTCAGGGCTGCCAGTGAGGACATTGGTAAGTGTATATAGTGTGTAACAAGATATCCTGAATGCAAAATAGGTATCATTTAAATGAATAACTATAAATCCATGGCAGTCTAGAAAACCAAGATTAATGGCCATGGGAATCCATTGCGCTGACCATGCAACACCCTCTGTCCACAAAAGTTGGCACTAACTTCGCCAACAAGTGGCAGTCACTCGATCGGTATAGTTCGCTTGTGGACTAAAGGCCACGAAGGATAACTCCATGGAGCAGAAACCTATCTGAGAAATACATAGTTATGAAATTATCTAGTTTTATGGAATTCTGAAAGGGATGGAAGAATACAGATGCTTGGAATGACTGGACCAATCATCATGAAACTTGCTACATGTATCTTGCCTTATGAAGCCATCTCAAAGCTTACTTCATAAATCCCTCGTGTCGGTAATATCAACAATGGAACCTCTCAAATTGTTGAGGTAATAAGCTTAGTATTACTTGAATGCTGGAACTAATCATCATGGAACTTGGTACATAGATCATGCTACCTGAGCCCATCTCCATGATGTGCTTCATAAATTTCTCTCATCAGTAATACCAACGCTGAAGCCACTCAAATTGTTTAGGCAATAACCTTAATGTTACTTAAATGCCATGGGGCTGCACCATAGCTCAAGCAGTTAGTCGCTGGTTTCCCACTGCGGTGGCCCAGGTTCGATCCCGGGTCTGGTCAAATGGGATTTGTGGTGGACATAGTGGTGCTGGGGCAGGTTTTCTCCAAGTACTTCAGTTTCCCCTGCCAATCTTCATTCCACCAATTGCTCCACAATCACCCTCACCTATCATCTGGGGCTGGTACAATAGGCCAGAAGTGGCCACAGTACAAGGGACTCAGTCCCACCCCACTAGAATTAAAAAAAATACTTAAATGCCTCAACCGATCATCATGACACTTGGTACTTACAGCATGCCAAGAGTAAAGCCTCTCATATTGTTCAAGTAATACTCTTAATATTACTTGAATGCATGAACTGATCATCATAAAACCTGGTATGTATATTATGCCTCATGAGGCCATTTCAACCATGTACATCATAAATTGCTCCCATCACTAATACCATTATAGCAGCCTCTGAAATTGTTGAGGTAGTAACCTTAATATTACTTGATGCTCGAACCAATCATCATGAACTTTTGTATGTAGTTCATGCCATCTGAGGCCATCTTAATGTTGTAATTCATAAATCATTCCCATCACTAATATCAACACTGCAGCATCACAGATTGTGTTGTTTTATTGACTTCAGTATGCATATATGCTAAGTTTTCTTTCTGCTTGTCATATCGAATACTCAAAAGTACAGTGAAAGGAAGGCAGGTGATTAGGCATGGCGGCACAAGTACGGCCCCATCAAGAAGAACAAAGGACAAGGGACAAGAACCTATTCGGTTAAAGAATTTTAACTTAAATATAAGAAAGTTTTTAAAAAAACTTTAATGCATCAAGGACAGTTGCTCTAGTTGTAAGAAATTTGGATTTTGTATAAAGTGTATATTACAAATATTGTATATTTATGTATTTTAAAAATCAAACACCCAATGTAATAGTAGTTTCTAAAATTATTGATGTTCCCTCCGATGATGGTCTATAGGGACCGAAACATGTTAGGGTGCTAAGAAGTGAAGTAGTAAAAGCTTCAACAGTCACATTGGATGGAATTGTTTTATCATTTGTAATAAATCTCGAGCTCTCCATAAAAATGTGTATCAAGCCCACTTCAGCATCGGCGGTTGGGCTGGAATTATCAGGGACCTTGTCATGGTCCCCCATCTGCTACCTGATGGGCTGACTGCTCAATACCATGTTTTTCTGGGGTGCTTGAAGATGTGCCTCTAGCTATGAGGCAGATGTAGTTTCAGCATGATGGAGCTCCAGTGCACAATGAGGATGTCTAGCAGTGATTCAACACAACATATCCAGGAAGGTGAATTGAATATCGAAGTCCAATTGCATGACCTCCTCAGAAGCCAGATCTAGACTCATACAGAGGCACTTGAAGGAGCATATTTATGTAGTCTGTTCCAGGACTATCGAAGATCTCATGGCGAAACTTCAAGCAACTGTGACAAGGGTCAATGTGTGGCGCACTTCTGTATGCCTTTAAATAGATGGAGGCCACTTCAGACATCTGTTTATAACTGTGAGATACTCATGTTTTTCTTATTTGATAGTTTGCACCATTTGATGGTGACATGTATCTTGAAAACTAAACACCACAGGACATGTTTTACTGTATTTTTTTACTAGATTTAATAAGGAAGCACAGTGTGGAGAGCTTGTATGTGAATTCTGTTCATCCCATATACTAATCTCTAATTTAGTAGAAAGCAGCCATTTTGCATGGGTATGTCAGTAGTAGAAAATAATTCAGGTTCTTGTGATTCTGTTATAGATAGGTTTTGCTGTGTAAGTGCTGGAGTAATGAAAACATGAAAGAACCAAAATGGGAGGAAATATTTAACTACACAGTATTGTGTGACTGTAGATGAGATTTCTTACATCACTACTGGAAGTTAATTCCTTGAGCGGCCAAATGGACATGAAGCAGACTACAGTGTTGATTGCAGACTTATCAGACTGGAGATGTTGTGTAGACTAAATGCAACAAAACAGGATCCTTAAACATGCACAAATGCTCCAAGATGGAAATGGGATATGGAAAGACCTACAAGGAACATTTGAATGTTGCAGTGAGCTTCAAGCACCCAAGAGAAAAAAATATAATGTCATTCTAATATCTTTATAATGATACAGGAACATAGGGATAGAGGAAGTTGTATGAAAGTAGTCTTACAACCACAAAATAGATAACTTTCAGTCCGGTATGACATAAAGGTTCACAACACTTCAGTCTTTATTCGCCTTACATGTTTCGATTCAAAAGAATCATCTTCAGAGGCGCACCACTACGAGCAGGAAACACTGTCACATAAGATGTTTTAACATCATGCATTTAGGTTATGAATAGTGCTCACTATATCACAGATTGCTCTATGCAGCCACTTTGACGTGTAGATTTACGTGTGATGTTTCATTTAAGCGCATTTGCTTGGTATTCAATTGGGGTTTCCCACTGCACGCAATGTGATGTTCACTTTTCCATAAAATAGCTTCCCTATGTATTTAAAATTGTATTAAAAATCTTTTGTATGTAAAAAATTAGTTATTATGTTAAAACTCGTGAACCAGCATTGGGTCATGTTGTTTTTTCTTCCGGATGATAGAAGATGTTGATTATTTCTCTTGGTTGTATGTTCTTATTGTTAGTTGTGTAGTTTACGTGCGTGCGGTGTTGTATGTACTGATAGTGTGACGGACCAGAATGAGACAAATCAAATTAGTCTTGCAACCACCCATGTCAGAATGTGTTTAAAGCTAGCATCCACAAAGATCCACTTATGCTACTAGAATGGCACCACACAGAACCTAGGTGCTTATGAGAAATGAGTTTCCTATATTTTATGTTAATTTGCTTGATACAACATAGTGATCATGTCCTAGGTTTAGCAGATCCCATGGCTCTCACAGTAGCAGTGTCAGCAATGCAGGGTTGCCAACTGCTTGGAATGCCGGAGTGTGATGTTCTCTTAGCACAGTGTGCTGTATACCTGGCACGGTAAGCATGTTCAGTATCAGTGCTAGGGGAGTTGTTTCCCTTCACCATTGATGTTCATCATTACAACATATTCATGTAATTACAAAATGAAACAGCAGGAGCAGGCTGATTGGTTCTCTAGACCTGTATTCAAGAACTGCTTGGTTTGAATCTTGGCTAGGTCACAGCTATCCTGACTGATATTTTCCACAGTTTTGCTCTGTGCCTCCAAGCAAATCGAGGATGATACCTCACTTAGGCCATGACCACATCCTTTCCAGTTCATCATTCACCAGTCCGACCATTTGATGCTATAAGGTATGATATATTGGCAGTATCAACACAAAAGAAAAAGCAGGAAAGAAAGGCATAGAAAGGAGCAGCCATTGATCCAGAATTCCATTTATTGCAGAAACAAACTGTTGCTGCAGAGATATAGCAAGGACTGGTACATAAATTATTTTCCTGTATGTATCTGTAATCACACAGCATTGAAAAAATGTTTCAAATGCAGGGTTATTCGGAAAGTAACCTCCAGTGAGCTGTTACCAAAACAAGCAACGAGAAAAAAAAAGTGTTATTACTGTTGAAGTGCAGTGATCCCAGCCAGTTTTTCAGGTAGGTAAATGTGGCAGTCATTCAGAGCAAGATCAGGGCTGTAATTAGGGAGGTCAAACAACTGTCAGTTGAAATGCTTCAGCAGTGCTTGAGTGCAAGCACAGTTGCCATCAGCTTTCTGCCAGACATTAGTTTAAAATTTTCGGCTTGTTTGGTGTGTGCCTCCACTGCATTGCCTGCTCTTTTGTTTCACCATTCTCATATGAAACCCAGGTTTCATCACCTGTTACGCTGTGACTGAGAAATCCTTCGCTATCTTTGTGGTATCACTCTAAAAAGTCAAAGCCAAACGATTAACTGTTTTCTGCACATCCATGAGCATTTTCAGAACCCATCTTGCAAAAAACTCATGATAGCTTAGCCTAACTGTGATAATGCTGTACAGAAAGGTGTGTGAAATTTGCGAAAATTCACATGAAAGTTTTGAAATTGTAAAGTGCCATCTTTCACAAATTTTTTGGTCAACACTTTGAACAAGATTGTCACTCACTACATATGGCCAACCACTTCACTCTTCATCTTGAACATTCTACACCGCTGTTTACAGTTCCTTCACTCATTACATTTTGGTTGTAAACTGCCACACATAATTCATGATGGGTTTCCACAGCACTAATGGTTTTAGCGTGAAGAAAGCAGATAACAATACGAATTTCGCAGCTGTGGGATTATCAATTGCATGACACATCATAACTCATTCTGTAGAGACAAGAACAAATGCTAGGTGACCAGTTATGGGATGGTTTACAAGGCAGTGAGTCATATAATGCTACATTGCATGCACAAGGTCTCCACCACTCCTACATTAGTTGCTTAAAATAAATAGAAGATCCTTTCAAATAGCCCTCCTAGAAACCACACGACTGAATTACATTTATATTTTATGCCATATACCAATATTTTTATATAGTGATATATTTTTGAAAAACTTGGTTAATTTTCTTTTAAGTTTCATTTGAAGTTCATTTACATTGGACTTTCAGTTTAGAACACCAGTACCAAATTCCATTAAAATCTGCGCTATAGTTTTAGAGATGAACTGTGTGGATGGGCGCACACTACATGATGTGTGTATATACTTATAAAAAAATATTGTGCTGATGAAGTAACAGCTGTTGATTTAGAAAATGAAGGATAGATACAAACATGTGAAGAATATATTTACATGGTACAGAAATTAATAAATGTGGTAACAAGAATATTGAAACAGACCACAGAATGACTCTGGCCCATAAGGTAGTATACACATATTCCTTGAATTTGATATGGTGGAATAAACATATAACAGAAATGAAAACTGATGTACAGTAGAGTCCCAATTATCTGACCTAAATAGGACTGATAGGTCAGATTAAGGAAAATGTTAAGACAATATGAAAATGGGTGGGGGAGGGCAAAACAAATTTTGAGTTAAATAAAGTCCAGTATAATTGTAAACATGAAATGAGCTTTATTAATAATTATTCAACAGTACAACTAACATAATAGAGTAAAAAAAACTATTATTTAAAGAAATAAATTTCACTTAAATAAACTGAACAACGGATTCTAAATTGATTAAATTAAACACTCAGTATACAATATGGCAAAACATAAAATCTGTTTAAAAATGATTGTAGTTTGTATCCATAGTTATTTCATCATGGTGAGTAAGTTGTTGCTCATATTTTTCTGCCTATTCTTGTATATCATCATTCACTTTCTCACAGCCTGAAATTTGTTGTACCCAATGTAGCAGGTTATTACAATTTTCTTGCCACTTTCTGTCTTCACTTGCCATGTTCATCAAAAAATAAAATTATATGAAAACAAAAATTTAAATTGAAAAATAAAACACAATCACAGGAAGTACAGTACAAATATAAATCAGTAGCACAGATGTATAAATGAAGCTATGTCCATGACAGTGTGTGATGCAGTGACAAACCAGCAGTGGGAGTGGGCAAAATGGTATGCATGTGCATGCAGCAAATGGCTGTGTTGGATATAGCAGAATATCAGATAATCTAAGGTCAAAATTGGGACTCTACTATACATGAAGCATTGATTAAGTGTGGACTTGGGGTGTGGCAGATACTAAAGAAAGAGATAAATTCATTACTGGCTAGTTAAATGGATTTTCTCAGATCAGCTGGTATGCCTAGGATGGACAAAGTCAGAAACAGAAATGAATGAAATTATGGAGTACAGAATGTGCCAGATATGAATACTATAGAACAGTGGTTCTCAACCTTTGTCAGACTGTGGCCCAGTAAATTCTTTTTTTCTATCCGGGATGCGGCCCGGCGTTTGAGAAACACTGCTATAGAAAACAAATGGCCGACGAAAGGTTACCAAAAATAATTAATTGGGTATTTATGGTAACAGGAATAAAATGGAGTTAGCATGCAGAAATAGAGGCAGCATTACAGACTAAACATGTGTAAGATGGACAGTGGAAGAGTGGGAAGGGATGGATTTTGAGGACCAGAGGGTTGTGTCAGTCTGTGAAGTGTGCATATGCATGTAGAAAGTGAAATACACATTTTGAAGAAAATTCCTGCAAATACATGCCTGAAAACCTTCGTCCTTATTGTTTATTTATTGGAAGCATTCACAATTTGACCAGTCTGCTCAGTACATCATCTTTGCATGTTCTATGTTTGACAGTGGTTCAAAGTTTGTCTTTATCAGAACATTTTTATATATCACAGTGCAAGCAACTGTATAATCTTATTTACTCTAAATCAAGCAAAATTGTGTCATTGTTTCTTTCTTAATGTTGTAGTCATAAGTTTTGATTGACTCAGTGTCAGGTGCAATATGATATACAGGGAAACCCCATTTAAGGTATATTTGGGGAGTAATGAATTTCAATACTGAAATGAGGAAAATCTTAAATGGAGGAAATTTAACACAGATTATTGACTTGCAGTCATTGAAACTGTACGTTGGAGTTCCACCGAATTTCATTTTAGTGCCTGTACTGAACTAGCACACCGCTTAGTGAAGAGAGGGCTGAAATTTCAAGTTTTCTTTTGTGTACTGGCATTTTGTTCTTTACCAGCGTTCAGGATAGCTCAGGGTCCCATCATCATCCTATTCAACGTGTACCAGGAACTCAATAAAATTGGCCCAGAGCATGATGATTAAGAATGTGTGAGGTTCCATTATCACACCCTTTCTGTGCCTTCACAGTGTTTTGTTTAGGCACAGTGACATTTCAGCCATCTATACTGTGCCTCCACACAAAGGTCTTTGGGTAATACAAGGAATGTATTTAGGAAAAAGATAAGGATTTGTTTTTATGCAGTGCTCCAAAGAGTCGGGAGATGGACCATGCACTAGCTCTAGCCAAGGAATGCATTGCAGAACATAAAGGGCCACTACCCAGCGTTCCCCTACATTTGCGGAATGCCCCAACAAGGCTTATGAAAGATCTCGGTAAGTTTATAAATTGGTTTGCTTACCTTGGGTTTGTATTTGTAGGGATTTGGAGTTGAATGATCTCTGTTTGGATGTTCCAGGATATGGAAAAGGATACAACATGGCACACAAAGATATATCGCATCTCACATACATGCCCAAAGGTCTAGAAAATGTAGACTTCTTTGGTCCTTCAGAATCATTATAACTGAAAGAAGAGATCAGGAGTGAGTTGGTTCCTGCAGTTTGAAGAAATGATACCAGTTCATTTCTGGACTACAAGTATAAGTTGAGTGATTCGTAGGAAGTTAATATCATGCAGCATAGTTCTGAAAAAGTGTATGTCTCAGCTGAAATACATGGAAGAAAGAATGTGTTTCAGATATTTTTCACTTTTTTAAAGTAATTTGTGAATTACATGGAGTAGAAACCATCAGCTGTGCAGAACACAACTGTACTATTTCTGTATAAAACAAATTATGTTTTAGCCCTAAAAACACCCACTTTACAAAGATGAATACAGTTGTATATTACCTCTAATAAGTAAATATAATTTAGTGCATTGGAAAAATTAACATATGGTTGAACACACTAAGGAACCGCTATTTGTGGCAGTATGCAAAGTGGCCATAAATTGTTTACTCTTAAATTTACTTCATAGGGTGGATGTTAATTACAAAATAAGGACATATTAGAATAACATTGTATACAGTAGTTATGAACTTGCAAATTATCTTCATTCCATTGGTGTGAAATTTCTCAATCTTTGAACTTTTTTTTCACTAACTTCAGTAACAACAAGAGCTGGGATAGTGTAGTTGGTATAGCAACTGGCTGTGGGCTGGATGACTGAGGGGTAGGAGGAGTCCTGGTAGGGTCAAAAATTTTCTCTTCTCCACGTAGTCCTGAACCTTCGGGTTCCATAAAATGCTGGGAAATTCTTAAGTAGCTGCAGAATTGGCGGCTCCTCAAGAAGGGCTCAGCTCCATGAATAAGTAAGTAAGTAACACCAATGTACAAAGGTATATGATGTTGCATTATGTTCTGATCAAAATATCAGAATATTTTTTCAACACATTTGAGGGCCTCTTTCAGTCATTCTTTTGCAGAATTCAGTGTCCTTCTTTTCACTTAATTTTCAACGTCTGTGTATGCATTTTAATATGCCTTGCAACAGGATGCTTAAATACAGAATTGATTTTCAGCAATAGGCACATTCTCCAGTGTTAGTTGTACTGTTTCCTCTATAGTCGTTTCTGTAAAAGCTGGTTCCCCTGCATTGTTTTGATAAATTCTGCTGCTGCTTCTGTGTCACAGCTGGTGGAAGATCACACTTTGCATTTCACAGATCTTGAACCAAGTTTTTCTTTGACATGAAACTGATGCACACTTGCTGCTATCCCAATAAATGCCATCCGGTTGCTGATAGCTTCTGGCTAAACTTTGTTCCAGACAATTTTATTAAATACAGGCATCCTTTAAGGACAGTTCAGTTTTGGTGATGGTGTTAATACATTCCACAATCTTCATTACTTGTTGTCATCAGTTGTATCCTTTGGAACTTTTGATGGTTCAAGCTTCCAGATATAGAATGTCAGTACAATATGGTGGCAGGTACTCCAGCCCCCAAATTGTTGAGATTTATGAGTTTGTGGCATGGTACATCATCTATATTAGTAAAAAAAAATTGCATTTCTTCCTTTTATTTATGTCACTGAACCACTCACCATATTCTGTTGTGGTCATCACTTTATTTTTTCTTTGCAATTAATGCAAAGGGATGGACTGAAATTCTCAAAAGGCATGGTTTAGTAGATGTGAAGAAATGTGTACTTAACCAGTCAAGTGATTATGACTTCTGTAGACATGCAGTACTTTGTATCATAGTGGCCATGACATCTGTAGATGTCACACAGGTTTCTAATTACTCTGTTGTAGATATAATGTCAGTCAGCAGTGGAAAGTTGTACATTGTGCTTGCAAGATTCAGGAAGTTGTTGACTGCTTGATAGCTGTCCTAGGTTTGAGTTCTTTTGACTGAACATTATGGTAGTTCGTAGCAAGATGTGTGTAAGTGATGAGGTGTTTTATGAACTATTACAAGAGAATGAATATAGCAGTATTTCAGAGTGACAGTGATATAAATGTGAAAATTCTGTTAGGTGCTGAACAAAGTGTCAGGCCCGATGAAGCAGAAAATATCAGCGACAGCAGTAGCATGCTACCTGGTGCATGGGCAAATTCAGGCGTTGAGCGACCACATTTTCCATTTACTGGCAAGCCTGGCATAAATGTTGATTTAGAAGACCCCAGTAACCCCAGGAATATTTTGAGCTGTTTTGTACACCAGATGTTGCAGAAGTAATAGTCAGAGAAATAAATCGGTATGTCAAAAAATTTTTTAGAAAACACGCCTAATCTAAAACTAAAATGTAGGACTCATGACTGGGCTGGTATTGAAAACTACATAATTATAAAGTATTCACAGTATCTGCTACTTGAGTTGCAGCAGTGTTTCTGGTCGTATAGATGTTTTAGTGACAATTTCATGGTCTGTTTTGCAGTGATATTTGAAAGAACACTTCAGTTCGTTCATGCAAAGGAAGTATAATTTTTAAACCCACACGGCAATAAGAAACTCTGTTTATCAGTGAGGCATACACAGTGTCGCTGTAAAGATTTGTCAGTCAACTATTATGACCATGTTTCATTACTAAACACCAGGTGCCTGTCAAGAAAACTTGTAGTGAATGTGCATGACTCGGGCATGTGTGTGAGATCATGCATTCAGTGGTGGATTTTTTTAGAATAAAGACAGAAAGTACAGAATTTTACTAAAAATATCAACTTTAATGTAAAGGCGATAGAAATGAAAACATAGGTACGTGAAGTGTGGTAATTGGTCTTTCAGAGGCTTATTGTTCCATAATTTTACAACACATGATTGATAAATTGCATTTTAAAAATGGAGCAAAAATTATAAAATTAAATGCTGCAGTGACAAATTTAAATGTCCAGGGGAATTTAATGTGCCACTGTGGGAGAGATAAGAACACAGAAAAGAACCACTTGGCTGGTTAAGGAATAATCAAGTTCGGAAATGTACATGGTGTACTAATGGTACATTTCCTCTGTTATTGCACAATATTTTTAATTTGTTAATGCTGACNAGCCACAGGAACTTTGCTGCAAGACAGGCATATGTAACGATGACTTGGCGCAGATAAAGTCGTGTCTTATTTATACTCTGTTCTACTGACAACAGGCCAGCGAAAAATCTAACAATCTACAGCAAAACCATCAATTATTATGGGCGTTATAACATAGGTGTGCAGCTGGACGAAACATACACATCGAACCCCCCCAGACGATTTAAATCCCTGACGAAACATACACGTCGAACCACGGCAACGGGTTAAACTTCACGACTTAAAGCAAACACTGATAAATGTATTCTAAACGTGTCCTTCCACTTTACACATCAGGGCTGAAACTTGTGCAAACGATAAATAAAAACCTCGCTAACAGGAGTCATACACTGTATCTCCTAAGATCATACAGACATTAGCCTTGCCTCTGTCATATCCCATAATAGTGTTGCACTGTATATAAGAAAAAATTTATATTATATTACCATCTATAATATAGCCTTTTGCATCTATTAGTTGCAAATGTGTCAAAAACTTACTTGGCAGCAATTCACATTTTCAGTCAGATCAACAGATCATGAAAGAATATACAAGACCTGTGTTCAGTTTATTGATGTGGATGTTGTGGCTTCCCCTATAGAGAGTCAGGGTTAAGAATCTTTCCCTGGGCAAATTTATTTCCTTTGTGCACAGCATTATTACTTTGTGTGAAATGCAACAATAAAATTTTGTAAGATTAGTGTGAATACTTCAGAAAGAATCTAGATGTATTGGGTACCAACTGTATGGCCTATAAATCAGTATTAGACTCCTCCTACTGTACCTAGATTTGTGAAATTTGATGTTGTTAAACATATTTGTGCAAGGACCTCCAATAAAAAGAAATATATTGCATATCAGTATAATGGTTTTCAAATTATGAGGTGATACAGCATATCCCTTTGTTTAATTATTTCAAGATGATCTGTAGAAGAGGTGTATTGGGCATAAAATGTGCATTTCATTGTGTCCAATATTTAGCAAAGTACACTTGTGATCAGACGACAGGGGGTGGCCTTCCAGCTTGGGGGTTGGGTGTGGGACTAACAACTCCTCACTGTAAAAAATAAATATGTTACGAAAATGAACACAAAGCCTCGGACCTGGACGGATTCCTTGGATAAACGACCTAAGCTAAAGAAAATGGATGAGATTTGGCACTTGGAATGTTTGAAGTTTGTATAGGGCAGTGGCAGAAGAAATCTTAAAATATAAGTTACATTTGGCGGGAGTACAGGAGGTCAGATGGGATGGAGGTGGCATCATTTTTTTCGTACGTCAGAGAATTGTATCAGCAGTTAAGAGGACAGAGTTTGTTAGTGATAGGATATCATATATATATAATACTGAAAGGTCGCTGGTGTGATATCATTGTTATGAATGTTCACGCCCCAACAGAAGATAAAATTTATGACATAAAGGATAGATTCTATGAAGAACTAGAACATGTATTTTATACATTCCCAAAGTACAAGTATATTTATGTTTGATCATTCAGAGCAGCAGATTGTGATACTGACCACTACCTGGTGGTGGCAAACGTTAGGGAAAGACTGACAGTGGGCAAACAAACAACACAAAGAGTTTATATGGAGAGGTTCATCTCAAGAAATTAGATGAGGTAGAGGGTAAAGAGCTGTATTGTGTTAAATCTTAAATAGGATTGCAGCTTTGGTAAACTTGGAAACTGAGGTGGATGTTAATAAAGCTTGGGAAACTATTAGAGAGAATATAAAAATGTCTGCCAAAGAGAATCCAGGTTATTATGAACCTAAGAAACAAGCAATGGTTCGATGAAGCATGCTCAACATTGTCAGATCAAAGAATGCAGGCCAAATTGCAGAGGTTACAGGATCCCAGCGAGTTAAATAGGGATAATCTGAAGAATATAAGACGTGAAACCAGCAGGCATTTCAGGAACAAAAAGAGGGAATATCTCAAAGACAAAATTGATGAGCTTGCAATGAACAGTAAGAACAAGAATATTAGAGACCTGTATAGAGGACTAAATGACTTTAAGAGGGATTACCAGCCTAGCAGTAACTTAGTCAAAGATGAGAATGGTGATCTGCTTGCAGATTGCCACAACATTTTGAATAGGTGGAGGAACTACTTCTCTCAGTTATTGAATGTACATAAGGTCAGTGATGTTAGGCAGACAGAAATCGCTACAGCTGAGCCGTTAGTAGCTGATCCTAGCCCTTTTGATGTTGAGAGTGCTATTGCAAATTGAAACGGTATAAATTGCCAGGTAGTGATCAAATTCCAGCAGAAAAGTGGGGGGTGAAATATTACATTCTAAGATCCACAATCTAATTACGCCTATTTTGCATAAGGAAAAAGTGCCTGATCAGTGGAAGAAGTCTATTATTGTACCAGTTCACAAGGATGGTGATAAAACTGACTGTAGTAATTACAGGAGGAATATCACTGCTACCAACTTCATACAAAATTTTATCCCATATTCCTCTCTCAAGGTTAAGTCCATACACAGATGAAATTATTGGGGATCATCAGTGTCGGTTTCAAAGTAACAGATCAACTACAGATCAGATCTTTTGCATTCGTCAGATATTGGAGAAAAAATGGGAGTACGATGAGACAGTACATCAGCTATTCATAGACTTCAAGAAAGCCTACGATTCAGTTAGGAGGAAAGTATTGTACAATATTCTGATAGAGTTTGGGATACCCATGAAAGTAGTTAGGTTGATTAAAATGTGTTTAAACGAAACGTATAGTAAAGTCCGTGTAGGTAAACATTTGTCTGATAAATTTCCTATCCAGAATGGTCTAAAACAAGGAGATGCTTTATCGCCACTCCTTTTCAACTTTGCTTTAGAATATGCCATTAGGTAGGTCCAGGAAAACCAGGTGGGACTGAAATTAAATGGGACACATCAGCTGTTGGTCTATGCCGATGATGTGAATCTACTGGGTGATAATATAGATACCATAAAGTAAAACGCACAAACTTTAATTGACACAAGTAAATAAGTTGCTCTAGAAGTAAACACAGAAAAAACTAAGTATATGTGGCTGTCTCGTCACCAAACTGCAGGGCAAAATCATGACATAAAGATAAGAAACAGATGTTTTGAAAGTGTGGCAGAGTTCAGATATTTGGGAATGATGATAACAAATCAAAACCTGATTCAGGAGGAAATTAAGAGACGGAACTTGCTACCATTCAGACCAGAACCTTTTGTCTTCTCGTCTGCTGTCCAAAAAAACAATTAGAATATACAAAACTGTAATTTTACCTGTGGTTCTGTATGGGTGTGAAACTTGGTCTCTAACATTAAGGGAGGAACAAAGACTGAGGGCATCTGAGAACAGGGTGTTGAGAATATTTGGACCGAAGAGAGATGAAGTGACAGGAGGTTGGAGAAAACTGCATAATGAGAAGCTTCATAACTTGTACTCTTCTCCAAGTATAATTAGAATGATCAAGTCAAGGAGGATGAGGTGGGCAGGGCATCTAGCGCGAATGGTGGAGACTGGGAATGCGTACAGGATATCGGTAGGAAAGCCAGAAGGAAAGAGACCTCTGGGAAGGCCAACGCATAGGTGGGTAGACAATATTAAAATGGATCTTAGAGAGACAGGATGGGATGGTGTGGATTGATCTGGCTCAGGATAGGGACCAGTGGGGGACTCTTGTGAACACGGTAATGAACCTTCGGGTTCCATAAAATGCTGGGAAATTCTTGAGTAGCTGCAGAATTGGCAGCTCATCCAGAAGGGCTTAGCTCCATGAGTAAGTAAGTACACTTGTGATACCCATAATTTCATGTAAAGTGTTGGTTATTGTTTGATTTAACCAAATTAGGATGGGTCAGCAAATTTTAATACAACTCAAAATCCAATTTCTGAAAATCAGTTGTTCTCAAGTTGTCACGTGGGGACAGGCATATTTCTACAACTTTTCACTGAGAACAAGCCAAGAAGATTTCTGTTCAGAGGAAATTGGAGGAAGGTATAAGAGACAGGATGGTCAAAATAAATTTACTCATAATGTCCATCTATTTATCGTCCGTGAATATTGCAACATTTGTTTATTCACTACTTAATTTTAATTTTAGTTTAACATTATGCACTTTGACACTACATGTTTCGGCCCCAAACGGCCATCTTCAGGTGTCTTGATATGTTACAAATATTTTACTAAAGGATGTTAAAACTGCTACACTGTGATTTTAACATGGACTAAGACAGTGTAGCAGTTTTAACATAATTTAGTAAAATATTTGTAACATATCAAGACACCTGAAGATGGCTGTTTGGGGCCGAAACATGTAGTGTCAAAGTGCATAATGTTAAACTAAAATTAAAATTAAGTAGTGAATAAACAAGTGTTGCAATACTGACGGACAATAAATACATGGACATTAAGTTAAACAATTGCAACAGCATGCTGAAATACAGAATTATAAATTTACTCCTTGAAATCATTTATTCGTGTAACGTACAGAATACGAGTTCTGACAAAGGTAAAATGTGCTGTGGTGGACCAATTGGATTGGCAAGTGTTATACTTAAATTGCAGCAGTTCCCAACCCGGCCCTATAGTAAATGACATATATATATATATATATAGATATTGCAGTAACTCCACATTTTGGTCAGATTTTGAAACAACTGCAGTGGCAGTCTTTGGTTGCATCTGTTATATAAATGTGCTCAAAATGCGTGACAATGCTTTACACCAGTGGTTCCCAAAGTGGGCAGTGGGATTACCTGGGGGGAGGGTTAAGAGGCAAGGTGGCAGCAGGTGCTGGAGGTGGGTCTCCCCCCCACCAAGTATGTTGTTCACTTACTTACAACTGGAGTAACTTTAGACCAGAGACTGAAAGTAGTTATCACTTCATCAAGCCCATCCATCGCATTAAGAATTTACTAACAGTGAAGCAGTCACTGAATCTGGTATCTTACTTTACTGTTATTATCTTCCTTAGTGGCTGTGCAAACCACTATTCTCAAAGAATACTTTTTATAGGTTAGGGCAGGGGACACTGGGGAATGAGTTTATGGAACCAAGGCGGCAGTGGCCCAAAAAAAGTTTGGGAACCACTGCTCTAAACCACTCTGGAAGATAGAATTTTAAAAGATATTGCAACTCAAACAAAAAAACAAAGAAAAAATGGTACAATGACAAGTTCCTATTACCGATCATCTGAAAATCGGTGAAACATATATATACATAAAACAACCACTGAGTAATATCAGATGCAAGGCTGGACAAAAATTAAAACTGATGTCCAGTATTTGGCCTAGCAGAACAGTTCACTTTACTGCTAAAAATATGGTTGTGAATTTATCTCATGATAAAACATGCCATGGAATTAAATTTATACACTCCTAAGACAAAAAGCGTGATTACCTCCATGTCTCTTACCTCAAGACCAACTTAAAAGTGGTACAGAAATTTACCACCTAATAAAATTAAAATCACTCTATATATCAGTTCATTACTAACAGCTTATACACAAACAATACTTGGGCCTCACATCAAATCCAGTAAAAATGAGCCTCAAAAGATATTTCAATACTGCCCACCATAAAAAATATAGAACTGAAATGGTTCTGAAGGTTTATTTTTATGAACTGGCAGCTTATAGTCACAACATATCCACACAAGGCAACTCTCCAAATCACTATGCCACTTCTCTTCCTTCCGCAAGCAAAGATCAGGCAGGTCTGCAAAACCAACTCTGCTTGTTAAATAAATGTTACAACTTCTGATGTACCTAACACATGTCATGAACATAATCCCTCCAAGTCACGACACTTCCAACTAGCAAGACGGTCGTTAAAACACATAATCAGGACCAGCCATGTCAATGGCCCAACGGAACTTGTCTCGTTGGGTTTTGTTGTAGATCTTCTCAATGGGAACATTATTCTTCTTGCACCTGGAACCCAAACATCACAAACACTAGAAAGTCTTGTTTTATGCAGTATGAAATCACACAACACAGTTTCAACATTTATAACAAAGCTATGTGATATGTCATGTTGAAAGCACAACATGTGTAAAAGTCTGAAAACCCTGTCTTTCTACACAATGGATTCATTATTCATGACTGCAGAATGGTGGTGATAGCCAGCAGAGGAGACATGGGTTCCCAATCACAGTGGGGCCTGCTATCCTCACATTCACAAAATTTTACCTCTTAACACAGCCACAAGAAGAAAAATGTAGAGAAATTGACATTAAAGCTGGTCAATCTTATTTATAAAGCAATAGGTCTCCCATTCTCTTGAAAATGTAAATTCCAGAACTTATTTTATACTTTATCGCATGTAACCAGTGTCTGAAACAGGAGACACACACCCATGCATGCACACAAACACTAATGGGTGCATGCTTACATGAACACATACAGTTTGTAAATGAGCTTTATGATTTGAATATTTTAAGGTACAGTTAAGAAGCTATTCAGGTTCAACATGAGCACCACAAGTGCCTCAAGCAATGCCAAACTGATATTAACCTCCTGCCCTTATACTTTAGAAGAATATCAAGACAGTTTTTGTACAGGCCCATATGATCTGCATCTTGGTGTTCAGTGTAATCAGCAGAGGGCAGAGGGGCACTACATTATCCTTAACAAACATCCTGAAGAAATCCATGGGTTGTGAGATCTGGTGATCTGGGGGGGGGGTTATTCCATAGGGCGCCCACCACTAATCCACTGACCACTGTATCATTCAGATACAACTTCATTTTGTCATGAAGTGTGGTGGGGAACCATCTTGCCTGGGAATAAATCATGTTTGGAATGTCTTAATATCTTCCTGAAGCTGTACCATCAACCAACAGTGCAGCATGTTGAGAAAACTCTCACCATTGTTCATTCTGCAAATAATATCTGTAAGCCTTCCTTCCAATATTGCTGCCAAGACATTACCCTTCGGACTGTCCTTTTCATATTCATATGACTCAAGGGTTTCCACTTCTAAGGAAACTGAACCAGTCATACCCTTCCATTTCCTGGGTTTCAGCTGTGGCACAATGTGTAACCAATATGAATGGAGATGGGCACTTTTATAAAGAACTTGCCAAATTGTTGCTTTGGGTATGGTAAAAAAGTAAAGTAAAGCTATCCCTGTAACAGGCAGCAAAGGCCCATAGGCTTGAGACGTTGAGGGTCCCACATCATCTAGACAATCGGCTCAAAGATGGCAGTAAGGTTGTCAGCCTTACGTGCCGGCCACGCTTTACTCTCCAGGAATGTTATTTAATTCCTGGTACTCATATCTGTTGGAGGCTGAGTGAACCCCAGGGCCATAGTGTGGCTGGAAGGATTAGTTGAATTGAAAAAATCCAATGACCTCACTGGGACTTGAACCCGCGACCTTTTGGCTTGTAGCATAGCCCCTCAAACAACTACACTACCGCATGCCCCCACTTTGGGTATGGTACATTGCACAAATCTCTGCAGATCTTGTGTCTAATATTTTTGACATTTGTCACTCACAAAAGGTCTGCCTGTACTTCTCTCCAGAAAACTCTCATTCACAAACCACTATACCAACCAAGGATCCATGGTTTACTTGGTGGATCCCTCCTCTATTTATGTGAAACCTGTTTGTGTCATGAAAGGCTAAGATAAAATGCCTTTTCTGGCCTGGACATAATTTTATGATATTGATGACTGCAGCTCTACACAGCAGCCAGAATGCAGCTGACAGCAGAATGGGCACCAAACTGAAGCGCCTGTTTTGACTGTGCTTAAGCTCCAAACAAGGTTTCATGAACACCATACCTCAGATACTGAAACAGCCTATCTGTTATTTCATGTAAACAGTGCATTCTACTGCATGTTCAATTTCTCTACCCTCTAGATATGGAAAGAAATACTCTATGAAGATGTGGTTTGGATCAAGCTATAATGAAATAAATGAACTCTTCATTCGTATATTAATGACTGCAGTACATCATGCAGCTGACAACTGACATTCTAAAAATAATGTCTGAGATCGCAGGCAGCATGGAATCAACAGTACAGCCTGTGGAGTTTGAAATAACTGAGGCTGTAGATGGAGATCTGGATGATAATGTGGGAGAAAGTAGTTTGGATGACAGTGTCTCTGATGGTAATTACTAGCAATTTGTAACTCAAGAAATACATGCAATTAGTAACAGTGAACTGCCAAAAGAAAAAATGTGGTTTCAGTCCGCGAGCAACCACCACTTGCCGGCGAAATTAGTGCCAACTTTTGCAGATAGAGGGTGTCACGTGGTCAGCACAACAAATCCCCATGGCCATTAATTTCGATTTTCTAGACCAGAGCCGCTATTTCCTTGAAACAGCTCCTCAATTATCCTCACAAGGCTGAGTGGACCCCGTTCAAGGCCCACTACTTCTCAGAAAATCTGGCAGCACCAGGAATCGAACCCAGGATCTCTGGATCTGTAGCCAGAAACTCTGACCACTAGACCACAGAGGCACTGATTAATACAACACTGGACTGGAGGAAAGGGGTCAATGAAGTTTACTTGGCAAGATATGAGCACGTTTTCAGCAGTACAGGAAATATTTTATGCTGTCCACAGCTGCAGTTTAAAATGTCTAGCCTGCATACAGTGAATGTGTTTGAAAACATTCCTGGCATTGCTATTATACAGATAATAGTCAATTACATGAAAAAAAATATACACAGCAAGCAACTCTGAAATCTGCCAGTCCTCTGACATTTTGCTACACTTAGGAAGTAGGAAAAAGGTGAAGTGGACAAAATGTACATGTACATCTTTATGTTACTGGGCACTGTGCATATCAGGTCACACTATCTTAAGAACTACATGTTCACTCCATTTTATTTCCAAGAACTCTTCCAATGGAAAGGCTGGAAGTAATATAAAAATTTGTTTCCCATGCAACATAAAACAAATTAATTTCAGGGTCATCCCAAACACGAATTTCCTTCATTGTTCAACATTTGAATAACAAATTCCAAAATTTGTACCTTCTGAATCAGAACACAAATAAACATATTACAATATCAAAAAGTTGCATGTATTCAATCATGTTGTTTAGAAACTGTAATATAATGAACATATTGTGATGAGCTAGCTTATGTCCATCACCGCACAACAGCTACAATGGAAATCATAGCGACGAAGGCCGTTGAGTAACAATGGACGAGATGAAACTCGTTACCAGCGTGTAAAGAGCGTTCCCGAAGCAACGGATTGCTGAACACACGAGATCAAACCTTGGCGAATGGTGTCTCGTATCCGGTTCGCAGAACACCTACATAAGTCGAGAGCGACAGAGCTACAGGACTACAGTTGAGATCTAGTCGCCATACAAGACAGTTGGAAGATAGCCGCCGCAGAATACAATTAAGGTGATAACAATTGTAAAGTGTGTAAGACTGAGTGTCCAATAAAGATTCGCTGAATTGAGACCCACATGAAGTTATCTGTCACATGACCTACCCAACACGTGACAACTGGTGTCAGAAGTGGGATTAATTCGGATTCTGGGGCGAATTTGGAAGTTATTCGTCTAACACCACACGAGCTGAAATGGAGTCACACCAGATAGTGGAACTCCTGGTGAAGGGGACCAGCCCCAAAGAGTTGCTGGTCCATTGGAAAGCCCTTAGAGAAGAGATGGCAGCCTTGCGGAAAGAGAGGGATGCCGATACGAAAGCCTGGGAAGAAAGAGTTGCCGCCGTACGAAACGGAAGGATAACCGTCAGGCCAGAAGAGATGAGTGCCGACACGAAAGCCTGGCTAGAGGAGATTGCCACCACGCGAGACAAAATATGGGCTGCCAGGTGATAAATGAGGGACGCCAACCACAAAAAGATAGTGACCGAAAATGACATAAAGACGACAGCCTGCCAAGAAGCGATGGAGGCAGATGCAGAGAAGACTGAGCCCCATTCAGAAATGATGCAGTCCGTAGTGGAGCATCAAGAAGTACCCGTACAAGATGCTACAGTGATACCAGTTGAAGAATGTGGAAAAGAAACAATGGATACCAAAAAAAAAAAAAAGAGACAATGGCCTGCCAAGAGATGGAGGCGCATCGGGAAGAGAGAAGGCCGACCTCAGTGGACAGGAAACCTGAGGCGGCAGAGCATCAAGAAGTCCCCGTTGAAAGCGCGGTACTGAAACCGGTCAAAGGACGGAAGAAGCGGCATAGGAGCAAAACGCAAACTGCAGGGCGATGCGAGGAGCCAAAGGCACTAACCTGAGGAATTTGTGGACCCCGGAGGAAGTTGGCTGCTGCCTGCAGGAAGGTGTTCCGCCGTGCAACAGTGGCATGGTGCAAGAGGAACATCTTCAAGAAATCGCTGACACAAAGTAATTGTGTACCGTGGAAAGAACTGGCCCCTGAGAGAATAAGGATGTCCCGTTATGTAACAGTGGCACGATACATGACAGACATCCTCGGGGCGAACACGACCCACTGCGCCAGAGTGGCACGGTGCAAAGGAATCGCCAGAAAGAACTGGGTCAGGGACAGCATACTGAGGGGAACCGTGAAAGAACAGACGTCCGGGAGGAGGCGTCAGCCACAACGGAAATGCAGCAAGGGGCATAAGGAACCAAGACATAGAGGAACTGCTACACCTGAGAGAGAAGACCGTCAATGTGATTTTCAGAGGAAAGTTTGTGAAACAAGTAGTCGGTACTTCCAACGGGTTACGGAAAATAAGAAAATGGGCACTGTGGAGGGGTCGACCCCCTACAAAACGAAAAAAGGAAAAGGCCCGTATGGGAGGAACTGGTAGTAGAAACACCGGCCTCCCTAGCAAGAGTGAACGAGGAAAGAACGAAAGTGAAGAATGAATGTGAGATAATGGGACTGACAAACGCTGCACCTTGGAAGTGCTCGGGGCGAGCAGTCTGGAAGAAGGGGGGCAGATGGAAGGAAGGGAAAACTCAGAAGAAAAGGTGGAGGCAACATGTGGAAGACGAACACCTTAGGAAACGAAACCAAGGAAGAACTGTTAGGCTGTTTGGGGGCGAACAACCTTTAGAAGGGAGCAATGTGACGAGCTATCTTACATCCATCGCCGTGCAACGGCTACAATGGAAATTGTAGCAACAAAGGCCGTTTAGTAACAATGGACGAGACGAAACTCATTACCAGCATGTAAAGAGCGTTCCCAAAGCAACGGATTGCCGAACACGAGATCGAACCTTGGCGAATGGTATCTCATATCCGGTTCGCAGAACACCTACATAAGTCGAGAGCGACAGAGCTACAGGACTACAGTTGAGATCTAGCCACCATACAAGACAGTTGGAAGATAGCCGCCACAGAATACAATTAAGGTGATAACAATTGTAAGGTGTGTAAGACTGAGTGTCCAATAAAGATTCGCTGAATCCAAGACCCACGTGAAGTTATTTGTTGCATGATCCACCCAACATGTGACAATATGATAAGTATCATGAGATTTCAACTGATTTTTATGATGGTCTGTTATGCCAAACTGATATGAGCAGATGTGTTTACTCTCTGATGTGCGCATGCAACAAATTACAGAATTGACTTGGTCGGCTGCAAGCAAGATTCTGTAAGTTTAATAAAATCTGATCTGCAGTTACATATTTCAACCATATTTGGATTTTTATCTATATACACCAGCAGTATTATAATGATGTAAAAGTAAAGGTATCCCTGTAATAGGCCATGGAGGCCCATAGCGTTGTGAGATGTTGAGGTTCCCACATTTTCTAGACAATTGGCTCACACATGGCAGCAAGGTTGTCAGCCCTATGCGCCAGCCGCCTTTTACCCCCAAGAATATTCCAATATTCCTAGTACTCATTTCTGTTAGTGGCTGAGTCAACCCCAGGTCCACAGTGCGGCTGGAAGGATTAGGTCAATTGAAAAAAAAAATCCAATGACCTCATTGGGACTTGAACACGCGACCTCCTGGCTTGTAGCATAGTGCCTCAAATTTCAGCTATCCAAAACTGAAATGAGATTTTACTGCAATGATAAATTCTATCACAGATGCTCCTGTGTGTGTGGGAGCTGCATGCATCACACAACTTACCATGCCACAGATATCCGTGGGTCCAGATAATTCAGTTTGGAGGTACTAAGTGCAATTTCCTTGTTTTCCTCCCTATCTGTTGCTTGAAGTTCTAACTTGGCCAGCTGCTCCCGTAATCGTTCTAGAGCCTTCTTGCGCTTCTCCATGTCACTAGAGTAAAATTAAATACAAATACTAAGGTTTAAAATTATAAATCTTCCAACCAGTGGCGGGAAAATTATTCATAAGCTGATGAAAGTGGCAAAGTTAAAGGAAAATTAAAGGTACCAAATTTCCAACCCTAAAACCCATCCATGTATCCATACAGTAATTATGGAAGTACTGTAATTTTAGCTTGAACATTTGACCACAAACTTTAGGTCATACAGATATGTACATGATTATTATGAGATTAGTGACTCTGCATACTCCTAGCTCCTGTGATCTATAAATCATCAGTTCGAACAGACATAAAATTTGCTTAGGGGGGGGTGGAGTCCAACTGGGTCCATTCAGCATGGCAGCCACTAATTGGCCTATTGTAGCCTTTGAACAGGCAGGTTTGCAGCATGGGGCAAAACTTTGTTCCACACCTATGCTGCATATACAGAGTGATTCACGAAATTTTACCCCCATTTAGGGAGGGCATTCCTGAGATAATTTGGAACAAAAATTTTTAAGATACTAATGGTACCCAACTTATAATTAAAGAGATACACTAATTTAAAAACTGGCGAAATTTTTTCTTCCTCCAATTTCAGTCAAAACAAATTAGAAATACAATACAAACACTTTTTAAATCATTAATGTTTTAGGAAATAAGCATTCAAAAAATAATTTTTTTTTCGATTTCTTAATTTTGCATTGTGCAACATTTTCATCGATTTTATGTTACAAAATTACATTATTTTCAGCATCCCATTCTGTAAACATACCAATGGTTGCATATCACACCCTTCTATCAATCTGTTTCCTTTAAACTGTAGTGCTTTAGAAGACAACTGGATTTACATAAGATTTTCAAAAATGTCTCCTTGCACATCAACACGTGTCGCACGCATATGAACCACGCGCATAGAATTTCGCAGTTCCACACATTTGTTCCTCATTGTCATCGCCACGTCCAGAATACGTTCAAGCAATGCTTCAGGTGTTTGTACCTTTACCTGGTACACAATGTCTTTCATCCAGCCCCAAATGCAATAATCTAATGGCATTAGATCTGGCGACCTGGGAGACCAGGCGTTATGGCCTCTGCGACCAATCCACCGCTGTGGGAAATGCCGATCCAAGCGAGCTGCTACTGCGTGGGAGAAGTGAGGAGGCGCCCCGTCATGCTGAAAGTACATCCGGCATCTTGTTGCCAGAGGAACATCTTCAAGTATCTGTGGTAATTCTTCTTCTAAGAAGTGGAGGTAAATCTCACCAGTTATACGGCCAGGAAAAATGAACGGCCCGATTAGCTGATCATACAGAACACCACACCAGACACTGACACTGAATCGGTGTTGAAAATTCGATTCTATCGTGGCACGGGAATTACTGTCTGCCCAAACATGTAAGTTGTGACCGTTGTTGACCCTGTCCCATGTAAACTGTGCCTCATCGCATAATATTATCAAGCAGTACAACTGCCAATTTCCATTTAACCAGTTGCAGAACTGCAGACGAAGATCATGGTCTCCTGGTTGTAGGTGTTGTACTTGCAGTAAATGATATGGATGCAGCCCGTTCTCATGAAGAGTCCTCCATGCCATGGACTGAGAAACCCCGAACCGCCGAGCTAGATGTCTTGTACTGGCACGTGGACTGTGCTCTACAGCATCGAGAATGTTTTCTTCTTCGCACAATTCATGTTGAGGATTTCGTTCGTATTGTATACGAATGCTGGGGAGAGAACCAGTTTGTCTTAATGTGTTGAATGTACTGCTAATGGATTTAGGATTCGGAATCCTGCGATTAGGTTAATGCCGGTGATATTCGGCAGCAGCGGCTCTCACATTTCCATCACATACACCCAAAACAAACACCATATTGGCATATTCCTCAGTGGAAAATGTGTACGGTATCTTAACTTCCCAAAGTCACCAACACAACGTCCTGTTTACTACGGGAACGCTGTGCCTACCTACATGCAACATTCCAGCCGGTCTGCATTATCTGCTAACACAGCTGACTGGAATGCATGGTCGCCCAGTCGGGGGTGGGGGACATAGCGCTGCATTTACAATGATGCGTTTCGAAAATCTATTGTTACTCCATAACTACTGAAAATCGACCACAAGTTTATAAGGAAATTTTGCAGGAAATAACCCCAGGAATATGTACCATAAGCCGGGGTAAAACTTCGTGAATCACCCTGTATACAGCCTGCATGACATATGGTTTCATCCCCATGGCCTGGAGACAAGTTAATGTCATGTTTATCCCAAAGCCCAGGAAACTTAATTATACCGAGCCTAAGGCTTATTGTAAACGGCCTCCGTAGTCTAGGGGTAACGTTTCCACCTCATGACTCAAGGTATGCGGGTTCAAACCTGGCGGAAGTCGTGGAATTTTTAAGGGCGCAAAAATTCAGGGAACAAGTCCTCCGGGAGGGACTTTTAAGACGTGGGTCCCATGTCGTAGTTTTACGGCACGTAAAAGATCCTCATGTCTCTAGGAGACCTCTGAGCAAAATTAGACAACAATTTCCCGCCCAAGTAGTTTCCAATGCCTCTGGTAGATGGGGGAAATATCAGGTACTGACAGCCGACCTCGTTGGCTGAACAGGGCTGATAGCATGCACCAGTACCAGTAGGGTATGGGGACAGTATAAATTAAAGGGGGACGCACAATGGACCAATAACTGGTCTAAGTGCATGGGAAAACCCACCCCCTCTAATAATAATAATAATAATAATAATAATAATAATAAAAATAAAAAGGCTTATTGTCCTATCAGCCCGTCGTCTTTCTTGTTTGAAAACGATGGAGAAAATAGTGGATAGACATATCAGGGATGGGGGCGTTGAAGACATATCCTCTACAACACAACCAGCATGCCTACCAAACAGGTAAATCTATTGAAAGCGCATTACACAATGTGGTAACACGCATAGATAGTGCGATTAAACACAAGGATATTACCTTAGGAGCATTCCTTGACATAGAGGGAGCTTTTGATAGAACCTCATTTGATACAATCAAAGAGGCTGCTGGAAAGCATGGCATAGAGCCTGCAATATGTAGGTGGATCAGTGCTATGCTGGGCAGCAGAACCATAGCAGCTACATTATCAGGAGAAACCCTGGGGGCATCCTCTTCTAGGGGTTGTCTGCAGGGGGGCGTTCTCACCCCTACTGAGAAGCCGGGGCGTTGACGATCTCCTGTGGTATTATACATTAGGATATGCTGATGACATAGCAACCCTCATAAATTGAAAATTCCTTTCGACCATATCAGAGCATCTTCAAACAGCTCTGAACATGGTCCAACGATGGTGTGAAAGAACAAGTCTTTCCATCAATTCCAGTAAGATGGTAATTATACCTTTTACTAGGAAGAGAAATATAAAGGGCCTTAAGGAACCGACTCTCTTCAATAAGACAATCCAGCTCTCCAGCAATGTCATGTAACTTGGTCTAGAATTAGAAAGGGGACTGACCTAGAAAAAAACAGCTGGACAAGGTCATTAACAAAGCCTATTAAGGCTTTTTGGACATGCAGAAGCATGTTTGGTAAAACTTGGGGACTGCAGCCGCACGTTGTGCATTGAATATATACTGCAGCTGTAAGACCCATAATTACATATGGCGCCACAGTATGGTGGCCCAGATTTAAACTCAAGACAAGCAAGGCAGAACTTAGCAAATTGCAAAGGCTGGCTTGCTTAGGTATCACAGGAGAAATTCGAACTTCTCCAACAGCTACACTGTAGATACTCCTTGGACTCCCCACCACTGCATCTACAGTTAATGGCAGAGGCCAGGGCGGGTATTTACCGTCTCCAGTGCAGTGAACAATGGAAACCTAGATCCGATGGTTTCAGCCATGCATACATAACTCAGGACATGAAAAAAGAACCCCTATTACAAATGGGGTCTGACAAAATGATACTGAGACATGTATATGAAAAACCCTTCACAGTCAGATTTCCTGACAGGAGTGAATGGGAAGACGGGTTTCGGCTCGATAGAAAAAGGGCACTGATCTGGTATACAGATGGTTCCAAGATAAATAAGGGCACTGGAGCTGGTGTGTACTGCTATGGCATGAGGCGGAAACTTAGTTTCAGCCTTGGGCAGTACACGACAGTATTCCAGGCAGAAGTATATGCCATTAAGGCATGTACTATGGAGAATTTAGATAGGAACTATAGGAATAGGAACATCTACATTCTATCTGCCAGCCAAGCAGCACTCAAAGCGCTTCACAAACACAAGATCATTCAAAATTGGTCTGGGATTGCCACCAAACCCTCATGGAACTGGCCAAACATAACAGGGTACAACTGATATGGGTGCCGGGGCATGAGGGTATTGCTGGAAATGAAGCAGCAGACCAATTAGCTAAGATTGGAGCTGAACAACCATTCATAGGACCTGAACCAGCCCGTAGCATCTCTATAGGAGTTGCCAGACAGGCAATCAGGGACTGGACAAACATGAAACACAAGAAATAGTGGGGATCCTTAACTGGACTCAGGCAAACAAAGGGACTCATACGAGGACCTTCCGCTAAAAGAGTGAAGGAACTGTTGAAGTTAAACAGGAACCAGCTATGATGGGTGGTAGGAGTACTTACAGGACACTGTCACCTCAAAGGACACCTGTTTAAACTGGGACTAAGTGATAGTCCCACTTGTGAGAGGTGTCAAGAAGAAAACGAAACAGCCACACATATCCTGTGCGAATGTGAGGCCTTAGCTTATTTAAGACTACATCACTTGGGTCAATAATTTATGGAACCAAGCGACTATTTCGACGCCCCCACGTACAAAATCCTGCGCTTCATTCGAAGTGTGGGATTGCTGAGGGGATAATCAAAAAGGGAAGCACAATAGACCACTGTAGGTCGTGGTGCAAGGGCTGAGAAGGCCTACCCCTCATACATTCATTCATTCAGTCATTCAAGGCAGTGATTTCTTGAGCTGCACAGTCACAGGGAATCAGACATGGCCCTCAAGGCTCAACAATCAATGCAGGTGTCTACTGTGACACACTTAAGAAACTGCATCGTGCAATCCAGGAGAAGCGACATGGCATATTTAGTCAGGGTGTTGTGATACTTCATAACAATGCTTGCCCACACACTTCTGCTGCAATGATCTCATTGCAACATATTGTAACGTGTTTACGTTACAGAAGACGCCGTAGAGATGGTTAATTGGTTTATTTAACAATCTACAAATAACGGCTACAATTAATTATCACAATATTACAGGTTTCCACAATTTACAAACCCTACAACAAAGTCTCTTTAACATGATCTTCACTTGTATTCACGTACTAAATAACGCGGGAGCTATACCAGCCTCCCTGAATTACACACTCCAATTATAACTGTACTAGAGCACTCACTATGTCTTGAAAGCACACAATAAGTCTTCCGCTCGCTGACTTCTTAGTTATCGCACACTCGCAGGCTGCTGCCTTGAGAACTGTTGATAACACACTCGGCGACTGTCACAGTACAACTCGCTCTGAATAGCCTTCGCTGCTCCTTATGTAGCCTTGATCGGACAATACAGAAAACGGCCACGTAATAAGCACCCTTGTTGCCTGGCGCTGTGTTACTAGCAACGCTAGCGGTAGTAACCGCTGTTACTACCGTAACAATCCTGTTGCGTCACCGTTACGTTACCGTGCGGAGGAGGGGGAGGGGAGCGCTGACTCACCCGCCGCGTCACTGCTGGTAGGGGGGGTTCTCCTTTGCGCAACATGTCACACTGCTCCCTCCTTAAGGCTCTTCGTCCCGAATAGCCTAGCGGTGCATCCCCGTTCCTTTTCCGTCCCGTAGCTGTGCTTGCGGTGTCTCCTGTTGTTTCGGTTACTCTTCTTGCAGCGACTATTCTTCGTCCGTCACAATATGTCTGGGAACAGTTTGATCATCCCCCCTACAGCCCAGACTTAGTGCCAAGTTATTTTCATGTGTTCCTTCCTGCTTCTGAAAACTTCCCTTGGTGACCAGCAGTTCCACAATAACGAGGTCAAAGAAGCCATTAACATGTGGTCTGCACCACAGGTATCATTCTATGATGCAGGGATACAAAAACTGGTGCCCCACTATCACAAGTTCCTCAACAATGATGGAAACAATATCAAAAAGTAGTGTATGTACATCAAATGGCAATATAAATGGTTTGTAAATAAATTGTTTTTTCTTTTCAACAGACCATCAGAACTTACTTTCTGGGTAACCCTTGTACTTTCAGACAATTTGGGGGTAAAAAAAAAGGCCCATATATTACAAGGGCAAATAAAGTAGGTACCCAATTAAAACATTTCTGTCCTTCAAACTTAGTCTGAATGGCAATATAAATGGTTTGTAAATAAATTGTTTTTTCTTTTCAACAGACCATCAGAACTTACTTTCTGGGTAACCCTTGTACTTTCAGACAATTTGGGGGTAAAAAAAAAGGCCCATATATTACAAGGGCAAATAAAGTAGGTACCCAATTAAAACATTTCTGTCCTTCAAACTTAGTCTGAATGTTGTGAAACTAACACAAAAATCTACAGGCCTCATGAAGGGTTGCTAACAAAGTCATGAAGAATCTTAACCAAATAATCATCAAGGTCAAGAAAAACAATCAGCAATTAAAGAATCAATCAGCTGACTCACTCAATGGAGGTGAATCTTTCTTGAGAAGATAACAGGTGCTGACCTACTCAAGAAATACCCAGTATAAAGTAATCCAAAGGTTCATTACCATATTCATTACCATATTCACAACAGCCCATCTGCTGTTCCCTATCTTGATCCAGATGGATCCAATCCACACCCACCAATATCATTAAAGATCGATTTTAACACTCTGCAGACCGCGCACCCTTTAAAAGGTTTTTCGCTTTTAAACATGGCAGACCGTTCATGTGTTAACAGGCTTTTAGAACACGATAAGTTGCAACACACTATACATCGCTCTGGCACCACCTACATTGCACGCAACCACCTGCAGATGCGTGATAAGACTCTGGAATGTTTAGTTAGCAGTCAGTAACTTGACCTCGCTGTTTACTTAACTGACTATAAAGGAAAATGCTTTGCCTTCTTCAAGCTGTGTGTATCAGCCAGTAGCT